AAAAGAGTATGATATAAGGGCAATGGATACCAGGGAAGAAGGGAAAAGATAAATATGCATTTCCATGTGTTCATGTCTGAGTGTTGTGAGAGAGGGAGGAGGGGTGGGAGTTCATGTTGAGGTCATGAACTGTAGGGATCTTAATGCTGAAATCATGGGTAACCCCTCAACACAAAAACAGGGACAGTTGAGAATAGCATTGTAGCAACATCCTTGTTTGCTTCAATTTTAATGGGTCATGTTTATAGCTGACTTATAAGATGATTGATGCATTATATTAGATGACTGCACATGATTGAAGGTACATTTACTTTTGAACCTAACCTGGAAACATGAAGATGAAGTGTAATGGTGTTTGGAGGCAGGCTTAGTTAACAACAAGCAGGCACAAGCCTGTACTATGACACCATACAAGAATCAATTTTGGGCAAAAATCATTTGGACTCCAGCACAGAACCTGCCAAATTGGAGCTACAAGTTTACAAGCTCCCCCTTTAATGATCAGCCCATCAACAAATCTACACCTGCCACGATGTTATTTTGGACAAAGAAAGCATGGATCCTTATTATAAAAGGGAGCAAAACCATACCCCATTGCAGCTACTTTTCTTATCACACGAATGTTCATATACAGAAAAACAAACAAAATTATTCTACTATAGATGGTTTTACATAAAATTGTAAATGTCATATGCATACTTGTATCAAAGTAATTAAAAGCAATTGGATTGGATACTTAATTATCATGCTTCCTTATCAATAAAGAGCAGTAGTTATATCAAAGAAGCAAGCACAACTTTGGGGGAGGGGGGCCACAGGATCAAATCTGAATACACAAAAGAAAACAACTTGGAACAAATAGCAAGAGACAGAAGTAATACTGCAAGTGACGATATTGTGAACCCTTCAAAGCTAAAAGCATGTTACCATTGAGGGCAAACTCAATCCGTGGAAATGGACACAAAACGTGAAAGTTATTGACAAACCTCTTCTCGAAGTGTTATAATCATCAACACTGATTTCTTGTATTGTTGGAGGAGTCCATTGCCGCACTGGGGAAATGTCAGAGGGACTACTATAATACGGGCCACCACCATCATTTGCCATATATGGATGATTGGCCACATGATTGCCTCTCAACCAGCTCCTACTTTCTCTACTATTTGAGGATGCTGAAGACCCAAACAGTTGAATCCCATCATGGGAGCCAAATGACAGTGCTTCAGATTGGAAACGGAAGTCCCATCTCGGCGGTGGCGGTGAATAACTTGAGTTTGTACGCCAGTAAGGTTCATGTGGCCCCACAGACCATTCCCTGCTAGCAGCAGTAGATCCATGTGGCCTTGCAGCCACACAACACAGGGACCCCGTTTTAGCTATCTTTCAGAAAACCCACCAGAAATCCCTCCTGCTAGCTGTCAGAACTCTTTCTAAAGCTCAAAGCTAGCCTATCAAACACTAATCCTTTGTCCTTGTGAGATTGGAAATCTCTGAATGCTTCAAATATGTTTACGACACATAAAACTTACAAAATAGGGATAAAATCTTCATGTCACTGTTTGAAACAATGAACCCATGCCTAAAGAACTTTGGAAACAATAGATATCTTAAACCCTGATTAACTTGTCACCAATGGAAAAAAGTGTGTTTGGATGGTAAGTTATTTGAAATATTTTTACTGTAACACTTTTTGTGATGTGATGTATGTGAGATAAAAAAGTAATTGGGAAGATAAAAAGGTGTATTGGAAATTGTAATGGTGATGTCAGCAAATATATTTGACCAAATAATTGGCTATCCAAACACACTCTAATGCAATCCTCTGCAGAGTGTTTCTCTCACCAACAAGATAAACAATAACCAAGACAGCTAAAATATTCTTCTCATGCGCCAACCTTTCCCTTGAAGAGTGGATAAGCCTGGTTTAAATTCAACAAGACGTGAGTTAAGAAAAATTGATGGCAAAGACCTATAATTCAAACCGAAAGCCTGAAATGACATTTACCAGAAGATCAATGTCACAAAATCACAAAGAAAAGTATAATCTTTTTCTTTCTCAAGTCGAATGACAGGAGCAAAGCTAGTCAACATTCAAAAGATGCCTTAAAAAAAATTTAAAAAACAGCAAATGTCTACACACAAAGGAAAACTTTTCTTTTCCACATCATTTGCCCCCTCTGGAATTTTCCCCCTTTTTGGCTTTAGTTTTTTTATGATTATGAACACAGCTAAAAATACTCAGCTACAGTGACAACATAATTTTTAATGTAATAACCCGTAATAATTCACTATTATTACAAAATCATTGAAACTAGACTACAACCGCCAACTGCTGTATCTCAAGCTATAATTTTTTAAAATAAATGAAAAAACAGCTAAGCACAGAATAATTCCCAATCATTCGTACCATATTATGTAAAAAGAAAGAAGCAATTAAAAAATTTGAACTTTACGAGAATTACTACCAACCCAGAAATAAAAACTCCTCAAATGAAGAATACAGCATCTGCCACCAAAGATTCACGAGGACTTGTGAAGCTTAAGAAAATAAACAAGAAATGCAATCCAGCATTTAAGGACTAAAAAACAATTTTTTTAGATAACTAAGCACATATTTACATGAATGATGGTGCTGATGTAAACAAACAAAATGGGCTTACGAATTTATTATTGATTCTGTTGGGCTTCTGCTGGGGAAAGGAGTGAAGGTAGAGAGTGTGAATTGTCAGCGTGTAGAAAATAGAAATGTGAATATAAGAACCCTAATTTGACGGAGAGAGCGCGATTATTTAAGCGTCCTTGTTGCTGACATACCCTCAAATTTGGCTTGATTTCTGGTTGTGTCCCCGTATATTTACTGTGCCCTTTGTAATGGCCCCCGAACATTTTTTTTTAAATTTTTATTACTACATTAAAGGTGCTTGTTTTGTTTCTAGGGAAATGACGGAGGAAAAGTATGAAAAGTGTAAGTGTGTATTTTTCTTTTTTTCTTGAGCTAGATATTTTAACTTAGCTTTATACTACAAGAGAGTTATAAATTCTTATGTCCTTTCGTAGGTGGAGTATAAATATATAATAAGTGATTCATTCTGAGTTATAGGAGCATGTAACTTAAAAAAAAAATCGATTTATCGATCGAATTCGATTCGAATTTTGGAATTCTCGAAATCGGTAAAGCGAAAAACGGAAAGGAAATCAGATTTTTTTATTTTCAAAATATACGAATTTGGTTTGAATTTGAGAATATGTTTTCTCAAAACGGAATTTTGGATTTCGAATTCACAATGCGAAATCGGAATCGAATACCTAATTTGATATTCAATTTCAAATTCGTATGTGTTATATATATTAATAAATATGTAATATAAAAATTTATATTATATAATAATACATCTAATTAATAATTATATTATAAAACAATACAATAATAAGTCTTATTAAGTTAGTTGTATATTATGTTATAACTATAAACTTATATTATACAAAAGTTGGCATTTAGTTTAGCAAAACTTACATATAATTACCGAATTAGGTGAAACCGGTTATTACCAACTTTCAAATTGAATTCGAAACGAATTCGAATTCGGAATTTGTGAAATCAAATTTGAAATCGATCGAATTTTCTAATGTCCAAATTTCCAAAAATTCCAAATTCAAAATTCCAAATTACTGAATTTGATTTCGATGCACACTCCTGTTGAGTAATTTGAACAAAAAAAAGAGCTTATGTATAGAGGTAAGCTATACTAGTTTGATTTTATGGCTTTTATTTTCACATTTCTTTTGTTATTCATTTCTTATTTTTCTTGTGTCGCATTATAGTTTGATAGGCACCTATTTCTTGGGAGAATACATGCCAAATAATACTTATGAGGGCACGCAGGAGGTATTTGTCAATTTCTTGCTTATTTTGTGTGGCAAGGTAAGAGGAAAAGTAGTAGCAGCCAAGTTTTATGCTAAAAGCCGTGTTAATTAAGGATTTTGTGATGAAAGAGGAGTTAAAACAAAGTCATTGCTCATGTTTAATTTTCTTCACCATCAGTTCTTTCACGTCAAAAAAAAAAAGTTGAAAAATCTTTGCAATGAAAGAGGAGTTAAAACAAAGTCATTGCTCATGTTTAATTTTCTTCACCATCAGTTCTTTCACGTCAAAAAAAAAAAGTTGAAAAATCTAGCTTTTCACAAGAGGGATAAGAGTTGGAACATGGGAACGCAATTGACACATTATGAATCCACGTTTGCAAATCCTTTTTGGAAAGCCTCAACTCATTCGTCATCAACCACTACCTTAACCAAGTTGGAAGATCAACTAATGCAATAGCTTGGGAAATGAAAAATCAATCAATGAACACAGTCATCCACTCTCTAGACCTTTGTCTTTCTCGGTCATGCTCCACATGGAAATGTTATCTACTGTCATCACCCAAAAGCAAAAAAGGTAACATGCATGTTCAAGGTTCGACACTTGAAGAGCTTGCCTTCGCCTTTAAGGATTTACCTTTCTTTTCTAGAAGAATCAAGACCAAACATGTTTATTAAATGAACAATTTCCCAATAGTTCCATCCATCCAACCAAAGAATTGAAGAATCAAGACCATAATCGTATATTAACTATCATCTGGCCAAAGAACTGAAGACTTGGGCCACAATCATGTTTATTTACTCTACTACTGCTTTCAAGTTAAGATGAACTAATTGACCAGTAACAATTGGTCAATTAGGAATGCTATTCGACTACAACAATGAAGGTTACACATCTCATATTTGCGCAAGAAATATTTTCAAATATTGCATGAAGTGGCTAAAAATGTTATCTACTAGAGTGTGGGTCTGTTAATTGCTGAGGATCAGTTAAGTGAAAATCGCATGCTGAGAGTTCATAATTCAATTCCAGAATTTCCATACCTGGCAAAAGCCTGAAATGTAACTGTTTGGACATCTCAAAAATGGACAGAGGCCATTTCCGGCCACTGAAAAGTCAGCCGCCATGTTAAAATGCTGAAGCAAACATACTACTTGTAAGTTGCAACCACAGCTAAATCAGCAATAATTCCAATATCATACACCAGCAATTTTACACAAACTAGACATCTGTTAAGCCAATTTCCCTGGTGGCCCATCCGTATCCCAAAATCCCATTAAGGGTCAACACAAAATATCAAGTATGAAAACCAAATTTGAAGGAAAATATAATGTTCCTCCTCTACCTAGCAAGGAAAATTTCATTCTTTTGAATATGCAAGAACAACATCTTCAGAATGGCAGTTGTTTCTCTATCAGAGCGAAAAACTGGCAATAGAACTTTGATAACAGTTCAAAGAAAGCATACAAAACTCGGTGAAAATCTACTCCATAACAGCAACTCCCCCTATAGCCTTGATCTTCTCTATAATATCATTTGCCTCTTCTTTAGTGATACCTTGCTTAATTAAAACTGGTACTTTCTCAACTAAATCTTTGGCTTCCTTCAACCCCAAATTTGTGAAAGCACGAACCTCTTTGATCACCTTAATTTTTGCAGCAGCATCAAACTTTTCTAACTTGACATCAAATGCAGTTTTTTCAACCTTCTTCTCCTCAGCCTTTGAAGACCCAGCACCAGACCCTCCCTGAGGACCCAAGTCCATGCCCTCCACTAAAACTGGTTGAATCTTAGGATGCCTTAGTCTGTCTCTAAGCATGGGACCAATCAAATTACGCTCTTCAGGAGACAGGGCTGCAATCTGTTCTGCAAGCCAAATGATCTTATCTGAAGGTGGGGGTCTAGGGCCATAAGGATCATAGAAAGCAGGATACTTGTGTCTTACGGGCTTTGATTTGGGATCCCTGGGAATGAAATCAGGCTGAAATGCACGAGACTGTAGAGGGCCAGTAACCACACGAAGAGCGGGATAGCTACGCAAGGATTTGAAAACTACAGAAAACTTCATGGTTTGAAGATAGTTACAAAAAAATAAACATTGAAGGATGATTTCTGGTGAAGCAGTGCCCTTTGGCACTTGTAGCACTAAATGCAGCAAATGAATGTAATCCTTCCTTCCTGTATAGAAGCTTCACATCCTATTTCCAGTGAGCTTCTCACCTTAAGAAGAGAAATGGGAAAGATGTCAGTCTCATTCATATTTTCAGGGACTATCATCTCATTCTGGAATATGGAAATCCTACTGGTATAAAAAGACTAATCAACAATATGACATCCAGTATTGCAAGCCGTTTACAACTCATAAATTTTCAGTCCACCAATCTGATGCCATTGGCTACCATGCTTGATAAATATTTTTTGCATGAATGTGCTTTGGGAAAGAAGACCACACGCAAGAATGTTTTGGTAAATGGTAGCATTCTAGGAATTGACTTCCATGCATATACCCAGAGCATGGCAGACTAGGCATACAACAAATAAATACTAAGCAACGTTTTTTTGGATTAAGTTTGGTATTAGGCTGCATTCTTACTTGCAATCAAATATTACAAAGGAACAATCTTTAAAGAGAGTGGTCGACTTATGGAATGAACCTAACCCTTATGAAAGCTAATGTGCAAAATATACCAATCGATTCAATATTGAGTACCCTTGCAAGATTTTCTTGATCAAAATCCAAACTATCCAATGTCTCAATAGATCAAAGGAGAAAGAAAAACTAGGAAAGGCATTCGAGGGCTTAAGTAAGGAACAAGTGCAAGTACTTTCGGATTATTTTCATTCATAGTTCACTCATATGCAAAAGAAACCTTAACAGCCAACTTAGGGAACAAATTTTACATCCATCTTCATTCGGGTTTCAGACCAGTTCCAGCCAAAAAATAAAATAAAATAAAATAACTCAGGCTCCAGAACTAACAATTTCATTGAACTTCAATAGGTCTAAGCACAAAATAAAATCCAATCACCAGAAACAAATTGTTATGACAAAATATAAACTTTATGGAGAAAAGCTAACCAACAAGAAATAAAGAACTTCTGAGAGACACAATAAGGCATTAGCAACGAAAGGTTCACAAGCTACAATCAAGATCAAGAAATTAAAACATAAATAAATCATCCATTTAACAGGGGGAAAAAATCCTTCACAGCTAAATAAACAAACAAATGAACTTACCAATTTTTTGTTGATTTTGTGGGTTGCATAAACGAATACAGAGAAGGACAGTGAGAAGCGTCTGAGTGTGCAAACGCGAATAAGAACCCTGACGGATATTTAAGTGCCCGTTTTGCAATAATGCCCTTTTTTTTTTATTGATTTTACTTTGGCCCCGTTGTCAAATAACTCCCCCCGTCCCCTGCCTCTGCCCCCCACCCCCGCCCCGTTTCCCCTGCGGTCCCCCGCGAGAAATGGATAACTTTCTACAATTCATAATCTTCAGCTTAGCTGTAAATGAAGAACTAAGATGTGAAAAATAAAAAAAAGAAAATATCACCTATGAAAATAATGAGGGGAATTAACTGAACCAACAAAGGACGAGCAAACTGAAGAGGCACAGAGCATTGCAGTTTTGGGTAGACAATACAGATTCTCATTTTGCAAACACATCAAGAACTTACCTCTGAGATTACCAATAAAGCAATCATAGAAAACTCTCTAATAGCCCAAAAGTTTTAAGACTTTAGTCCATCAATCAGCTTAAGAAAACCCCTGCATACAGAAAACACTACTCTTATCAAGATGCTCCAAAACGTCTGCTAACACATTCATAGGCCATAATTCCTAAAAAGGAAAATGGAGGTACAGTAATACCGTATCTTTCATGTTTTACGATATATGTGAAACAAGATATAGATTTTTAATCTGAATAAAGCCTTAACTGATACCTCTATTTCATTCACGCATTTTCACAAACAGATTACAAGCACACACAAAAAGTTTCATCCTCTTTCAACTACGAGATTGAAGTGGACCATAAAATTTCCAACGCAACCAAAATTTCAGTCATCTAAGAACGTAAATGCAAGCAAATTAGCAGGAAAGGGGAAAAAAAAAGAGAGAGAGCATGGATTTCATTTAGTACCAGTTGAAGTTTGAAAGGAGGGGAAAAATGAATTTAGAGATTTCGAGTGATTGAGACTGATTACTGATTAGAATTGAGGGGAATGGGACTATGGGAGGCGACGGCGGTGGCTGGCTGGCTGCGATTCTGCGAAGGAGGAAATGGAGGAACTGAGGGGGAAATGGGAATGGCCGAATGGGGGATAATTAGATTTAGGGGTTTTGTACTTTTGTGTATTTAATATTTATATATATATATATATATTTTTTTTTTTTCTGCGGGGTAAATATTTTGCCCCGCCCCATCCGCTCCTATTGCCATCTCCGCCCCTATTGCCATCTCTACATAAATTACTTTACCAGTGTCCGGCTCCTTTATGGCTTTCCCAATCGCCTTCTTTTATTGTTTACCCTTTTTTTTTGGATAATTTTAAAAATCTTTGAGATTTTTCATAATATCACTTAGCTCCTTGAGGTTTGTAAAATTTTGCTTACCTCCTCTATGAGTTTGACGAGACTAAATATTCTTATCAAATGTCATAAATTGACAATAACACCTTTGCTCTTAATAACTATTTAACCAAAAAGTCAAAAAAATAAAATTGTTAAACCAAAAAATGTAGATTAAAACAAAAAATGAATTGTTATATAATAATGGTCTATATTTCTCTATATCGAGATTATGGTGGGACAGCAAAAGACGTGGATAAATTAAATCTATTTAAAATCAAGCATTCAAGAGGATTTTGGTGAGTAATTAATACCTTGAAAACTTTCATAGATAGTTATACGAAAGTCAAGAAATTTTTTTGGGAAATACATTTTAATACATGATGTAGTTTAAGTTATGTTGAAAATTAAAATAATCTCTTCATATGTGTGAATTCTTCAAGGTGTAAATTTTGCTTTGTTCCAAAACAACTAAAATAACTAGTTTAAGTTAAGAAATTTACAACTTATAAAAAGTTAACCTTATTTTATTTTTTATTGTTGTTGTAAACTTTATAAATTAAATTGTTGTTGTAAACTAAAATAAAAGTATTATCTTTCTTGCATTTCCTCAAAGGGGCTAAAATGTTACAATGAATGTCAATTCAAAGGAGTTAAGTGAGATTTTAAAGACATCAGGAGAGCTGAGTGATATTATGAGAAAGCTCAAGAGAATTATCCCTAGTAATAGTTATTTAGGGAAATGAAAAAGGGAAAGAGAACCTGAGAATGAATGAGTGTGTTTTATTATTATTTTTTTGAATTACTTTACATGTTTTATTACTTTTTTTTTTTCGAATTTCTTTATTTATTGTCTTTTTTTAACTTAATAATAAGAGATGACCCCAAGATGAGAAGTTCAAGAATTTGGCCTATATTTCTAATTAACAATTTAAGATAGTATCTAGTACCTCAATTTTATTACTCACAATGCCTCATCTCTTTCGTGTTCTTTTTTGCTTAATCCATTTTTCCTATCCTTTTTTTGTTTGTAAATATGTCGGTAGCTAAATGAGAGTGTGCTACTTGTTGGTTTCTTTCTTATTTTGTGCACTAAGGTAGGAGATAAAGTAGTACCCGACTGTTAATTTTGTGCTTTGACTTCTTGCTATTTAATAATTGATGATCATAGAGCAGTGGAATAAGAATTAGTACATGCGAACAATCTTAACCACTCAGAAGATCAACCAAGGCACTAACGTTGAAAATGGCAAATCAATAAATGAATCAAAGCCATCCACTACCTTGAGCTTTGTCTTTCTTTTTTCAGCTTTTACATGGAAATGGCACCCTTCGGGCATCTGCCATCTTTGGTAAGGACCACCACACTTGGACTACAAAGAGTAGTACAATAAGAATTGCAATACTTGGAATTTATTACTGATTCTGACGAAGGCTGGAATGTATTACAATAGAGTAGTACAACAAGAATAAGTAATGGTTGGAATGTGTAACTGTGTTTGGATTGCAAATTTATCTCAAATAATATTTCGCTTGCATCATAAACGTATTTCCCAATCCACCTTTTTATATTTTCAATTACTTTTTATCTCACATACATCATATCATAAAAAGTGCTACAATAATTATTCCAAATAATTTTCGACAGGAGATTATTTACCTAAATATATTTGCTTACATCACCATTACAATTTTCAATACACTTTTTTATCTTCCCAATTATCTTTTTATCTCACATACATCATATCACAAAAAGAACTACAGTAAAAATATTTCAAATAATTTACAATCCAAACACGCATATTTCAAATAGTACTCTATCCAAACACACTCAACAGTATTCAAATAATTATTCCAAGGTTTGCAGCAGGAATATTTTATGTGGCATAACATTAATCTAGGCTACTTGCGAGCTATCCCATAAACCTGAGGATTTGCTATCGAGGCAGAAGGCACAAATGCCCGCTGAAGTTCAACTGATGAGAAGCCCGCTTTAGCAATAACTTCTCCAGTTTTTCTAGTGAAGTGACAGCCATCAGCAAAAAACTGCTGCAAAGGATCAAGAATCCCTTGGAAAAATCTCCGACTTGTTCCATCTGCCAGCAAAACAGACAAATCAAGGCTTTGACGTTATAATTCAGTTAGATGGAGAAGTTAACATGAAATAAAAGCTTACATTATCGCAAATAGGAAGTACATCTTTATTACCTTCTGCTGCTACGTGTTCCACAAACACATAGAGCCCACCTGGCTTAAGCACCCTCATAATCTCTGAAAACAATTACTAGAATGTGTATTAGCCCCTGCTATCTGCTTTTCCACTCGATATACACTGAGCAGTACAAACCTAGCCACTGAGGCGTATATGACATGTTCTTCCAACAAGAAGTAGACCATTCATATTTTCTTAAGAAAAACCTTTAGATGCTGCATGCTAAATTTTATCTACCAAAGTTTGAGTGTCTCATACAGGAATTAACATACCTTGCAGCGCCAAGTCAACATCTTTGACAGAACATAGGACAAGTGTGGCCACTACAGCATCCACAGATGCATCACCAAGGGGCAGAGCCTCTGCAACCTGCACAATTCAATGGTCAGACAGTCCCATTGCAAAATTAACTCCGAGGGATAAATGACCTTCAAATGAGCTGTGACTAATAAGTCTGCAACAGCAGACGGAAGAGGCATCTAAAGTGGATCGTTGACCAATATCAACACCAAGAAAATCCTAAGCTCAAGCCAAAAAGCATTTGACAGGAACTATATGCAACTGCCTAATCTCAAACAGACAGAGCAGATATCTTGGCATCTGATGTCCAAGATATAACTTAAATGAAGGAAAGAAGCTTTCATAAATGAAGCAACTGGGTAAATAAGGTAAGACAGGAAAAGCTCATAAACGAGGCATAAAAATCATCATTTCTTGCACCATAAGATTAGGTATGTGCACTAGTCATATCAACTTTAGATGAAAACCAAGCATGCTATCGACATACACAAATTAGCTTTTGGCTGTGGCCTTCTGAAAACCAAAATTCAGCTTTCAAACAGTTAATCAGCCACGCAAAGATACTACTGTTATCTTGCAGACATGAAAAAGACATCGCTAATAGAATCCATCTGATTGACCATAGACAGGCTCATACTGCTTGTGTAAATTTAAAGTTTGTCAGCGGAAGGCCTGCACCCTGTGCTGCTGCCCGCGCATACTTTTCCATTTTTATGTTTGGGTCCGCACCAAAAACTTCAACGCCTGGTTCACTTGCATAGTATTTGAGATTGGGACCTGTCCCAACACCAACCTCCAAAATCTTGTTAGCCTTTCCTCTCAGATTAGCAAAAAGTTGAGACTTATAGTCTGCAATCTTATAAGAAAATAGGCATTTATCAGTATTCTTCTACTGAACTAAATGGTCAACATACCAAGAATTTACTGCTCATAACCACCACCAACCTCAGCCTCGTAACGTTTATTGAATTTCCCCATAACCCACGCATATAACTCCTCGTACCAATCTGGCTTTGGAGGGCGAACTTTTTTCAACGTAGCCTGCATTCCAGAAACAGTAGAAGTTAATATCTTTAAGCACATCTAGTAATAACAGTTTTTGTTAACTCGCATTACTGTAATTGTGCAATGACCATCAGATGTAGTTATGTATCCAATCACATGCTTTCAGCTTATTTTTGCCCCTTCAAACATAATTCCAATATTCCAGTTACTTCTCTAGCATTAAGTTGTATTGGCCTAGAAGTCCAACCAGTCCCATTCATGCATCATCCTGAAGATTGTGGTACGATATGCTGAGGGCGGGCAATTGCCTCCTCAACGTTGCAAAATTTAAAGAATAACCTTAAAATTGTTACAAATTTTTATGTTTTTATCATAATTGCACCCCTCAATTTCGGGAAAAAAAAAAATATTTCCCTATTCATTGCACCTCATATTATGAGAAATCCTCTTTCCATGCACATTATCTATCTGACAACCAATTTTTGAAATATCCCTCCTATAATACAAATGTTTTAAAGCTATTAAAATACAAAATTGATTACTACTTGAATAATAAATAACTTCAATAATTTCACAACACAAAAAATTCGTAGTAAAAACATAATTTTTAATTAAATTTCTCTTCACATAATAATTACGTGATCATTTAGGTCTATAATATTATTGTCCGACCATAGGTCCTGAGTCCACCACTAGTTTCATCCCCAACCAAACCACCACCACCCCGCTCCTCCCACATGACATGGCTAATCACTACAAAACACATAAAGAAAGCAATTTGATAAAATGAAACTGAATAATCTTAAACTTCGAACAATCCAAAAACCCACTAACATTTGAATTATGCCCATCCAATCAGAATCAAGCATGAAAAACCATAGACAATCGGGGATAAGAATCAGACCAGGGGATCGCTGGGAGGTGAATCTGAGGCAGATGAAGGATCACTTGAGAAAGGAGCAGTGCCAAATGCCTGAAGGAGTTGTCTTCTGCTAACGCAAGAGCATCTTGTACTGCTGTGGACAGTATTAATGTCTTTGAGGCCGTTTTCCTTCGGTTCTTTGAACTTGTCATCTCCTGCTTGGCAACATCTGCTCATATTTGTTAGGGTTGTACAAGTTTTAGCGACTGAACTTACCTTGCTGGTTGGCTGAAGATTCAAGTTCGGACTAACGGAGCTAAATTTTGGGGACTGAAGGATCATGCTGCAAAGACTAGAGGAGGACAGCCAATGGAGAAGATTATAGTGGAAGATATCCTTTGTCGTTGACTCTGTCTTCGGATTTCTCCTCTGTCCTCCTTTTTCCTGCTGTTACTGTATTTCTCATGACTTCTGCCAGATTATTTTCCCTTTGTTTTTTCCTTGTGCGTAAATTACGTAATCGCCAAAGTCCGTCATCTTCATCTGCAGTAACTGTTTGAACTAGCCTTTTTTTTTTTAATCTCTCTTTAATACATGTTCAACACAAGAAATTACTTTCCTTTTTTTTTTTCTCGAAATTACTTTCATTAGTGAATGATTATAGTAAAAGAAAAAATAATAAAATGTACCTTTACAAATTTTTTTTTCTTCCTATTTTCTGTAAACATGGACATGTTGTCATAATTTAAAAAAAAAACAAAAAAAAGCTGCTGCGTGCATTTTTTTTTTGTCTCCATTCCTCAAGCAAAATGCTTACTAAAGCAACCAAAGTTGTCCTTTGCATACTTTGCCCAAAAAAAGAAAAAAAAAAAGAAAGTGTAGCCTCGAAGGGATGTTTGAGCATTGGCAGACCAGAATTATTCCATTGAATCTGAACAGTGCAAATGCAAATCAATTAATAATGTAACTCAATTAATGTACAACCAGTTGATCCAAAATTTATACCTTAACAACATCATGCTCATAACTTGCATTTGAGGGGTTAATAATAAACTCTTTTTCTTGTCTTGGTGAAAATAGGGTTAATAAAATTCTTTTTTTTTGTTTGTTTTGTTGAAAATAAGTTGAAAACAGTTTCTTTTTTTTTTTTCATTTTTCTTTTCTCTCCCCATCTGACCCTTTTTTTTTAAAAAATAAAAAAATAAAATTTTGGGTGCTATAAAAGAGAGCCCTCCTCATCCAGCTGGATATTTCAGTAATTGACAGTAGGCCAGTTTCAACCCTAAAAAAACAAAAAAAAATTCGACTAGCCATCTTGGCCCTCGAGATATTATTTCTACATTATATTTTGCTTTCACGTCTCAGGCAGTTATATATACGTTGCGAAAATACTGACCAATATTTCTGAAACATCCCGAGTTGCTCCAGCAGTCCCCCTCAGCCCTCTAAAGGTACTAATCTCAATACTAATTTTCTCATCTCATTCTTTGTTGACCTCATGTCTGTTCGTTCATCAGTTCTTTGAAGGTTCTTCGGAAGTGCCGAACCTTTGGCAATTGTACCACCCAAAAAATGTTTATTTTTTGTCTGATAAGCAAACCATTGTCACTGCATCCTGTAAAGTTTCTGTTTTTGTTTGTGGGCTTCCTTTAAATATGGAATATAACTTGTCTCTAATTGGAAAATTTGTGAACTTTGAACAGTATTTGCTTTATGTTTCAATTGATGTCATATATTTCAGTTTTGTTCTCCAATAGGTCAGTCTATTTTATCCATATTTGCCGTGGCTCAATTTTGTCTTCATTGTTGCCCTATGCAGCAAAATTTTAAAATATATATTTAAAAACAAAAAAGATTTTTGGGAAGACCCTGTTTGGAGAATGTCGTTATATTTGAAGCTATGAGTTGGTATGCTGATTGGATTTTTGTTTGATTTTGGTTAGGGTGTATAGAAAGGTATAGTCTTTGGATTATGGCTGGCCAGAGGAATGATTACGGGAAGAGAATGCATTCTCAATCTGAATATTCAGCAAATGAGGGGAGTAAGAGAAGGAATCCAAATGAGGAAAAGGAAAGCAATGCCATTGGACCTGAGGATACGGTTTATAGATACTTATGCCCCTTGAGAAGAATTGGAAGTATTATTGGAGTAGGTGGGGACATTGCCAAGCAATTAAGGGCTGAAACTCATGCTAAGATTAGGATTAGTGAGATGATACCAGGGTGTGAGGAACGTGTGGTTACTATTTATAGTTCTAGGGAGGAGACTAATAGCTTTGGAGACGATGGCGATCTAATCTCTCCAGCACAAGATGCTCTTTTTAAGGTGCATGAGAGGGTTGTTGCTGAAGAGGTGCCTATAGATGATGAGTTGGAGGCATCTCAGCAGGTGACAGTCCGGCTGCTTGTGCCTTCAGATCAGATAGGTTGTGTGATTGGAAAAGGTGGACAGGTAGTCGAGAATATACGCAATGACTCAGGTGCTCAAGTTCGCATCTTAAGCAGTGAACATCTGCCTCCTTGTGCTCTGAGTTCAGATGAATTAATCCAGGTAAGTTTTCATGTTAGGATTTCTTCTAGTTCGGCAAGTATGACAAGGTCAAATTGATTGATATGCATCATTTCTCGATTTTATTTTGAGTACGCCTTATTCGCTAGTTTGAGTTTCTTCCTTGCTACGCAATTTCAGTTAACGGTTAAAGCACTCAGATATAGTAGAATTTTCTTTTGGCAGTTACTCTTAAGTGCCCAATCGAAGGTGCCTGAACCCCATAATTTGAATGTCATTAACAAAGTATTTAGTTTATCACTGTAGGAGTTAGCACGTTGTACGGGCTAAATAGTGGCTTCTCCATGCCATGCTACAATGAGAAGAGATAATTTACTGTTGAATAACGTAGCAAAATTTAAGACAACTACAGCATTCTTTACTTGATTTAGAAAATATTTGAACGTATAAATGATGGTAAATTGACTACTATTAGTGGCTCCATACCCAAAAGATCAACTTGTTGGAGTCACATACGGGTTCTTATGTAGAGATTCGGGCATTCCTACACCTGGCTTTTGTAAACTTCTCATGTCATACATTGTAAGGAGGAGTTAAGAGTGTCACGAAACAAATACTTGTTTGTATTTATTGTGTCAAAACTTCCTTATTTGGAGTTTCATGTATTTTATGCTGACTTATGGTAACTGATAAAGACCGTTATCTACTTCCTTATGTATCGCAGATTGTTGGGGAAACATATGCTGTTAAGAAAGCTCTTTATCAAGTAGCTTCTCGTCTTCATGATAATCCATCACGGTCACAGCATCTTCTTCTTTCTTCAGCAAGCATTTACCGATCTGGCAGTGGATTAGTCAATCCAGGTGTTGGTGCGCCACTGATTAGTTCATTAGTGGGTCCTTATAGGGGTTATAAAAGTGCTGGAGCGGACCACTCCACATCTGTAAAGGAATTTTCTCTTCGTTTGGTATGCCCTAATGAGAATGTTGGAGCTGTGATTGGAAAGGGTGGTGGTATCATTAAGCAAATAAGACAGGAATCCGGTGCATCCATTAAGGTGGATACATCTGTTGCTGAAGGAGATGAATGCATGATATCTGTATCAGCAAAAGAGGTGAAAGGGACTTTTTTTTTTTAACACTTCCCTGCTGTTTATCCCAAACAACATAAATAAGTGGATTGATCATTTAGAATGAAAACCATTGTGAATGGTTGCTTATTCAAGTTTTTGGTAATATGCAGACTTTTGAAGATGCATCACCTACAATTGACGCAACAATGCGCTTGCAGCCACGATGCAGTGAGAAAACCGATAAGGAATCTGATGATCCTGTAGTTACTACCCGTCTTCTTGTACCTAGCTCTAGGATTGGCTGCCTTATTGGTAAAGGTGGAGCTATTATTAATGAAATGAGAAGTGCCACAAGAGCAAGCATCCGCATTCTTTCTGAGGAAAATCTTCCCAAAGTTGCATCTGAAGATGATGAGATGGTCCAGGTGAACGAGAGAGATATATGTGATAATTAGAGACATAAAGCATGTGTCTTTCTATACAGATGCATGCTGTCAACTTACCTTTTTACTCCTACAATATGTGTTAATATCTAGAGTGGTTATGGTACAAATACCCAGTCATTATAATTTCTTATGCCAGTTTGTAACCTTGGTATCTCTGATTGTTATTTGCAATGCTCACCAGATCACTGGAGATCTAAATGTTGCAAGCACTGCCTTGTTACAAGTTCTTCTGCGCTTGAGGGCCAATTTATTTGAGATGGAGGGAGCTTTAGCTGCATTTCCACCAGCCGTTCCATATGTTCCATTATCCATGGATGCAGCTGATGGTCCAAAGCATGGCAACCGTGATCATAAGTCACATAATCATGGATATTCAACTTACTCTGGGGGATATGATTCCAAGAACTTGGTACAGCAGAGTGAAAGTTATGGTGTATATGGTAGTCCTCAGGTATATCGCCTAGCATTTTTGGATTATTAATGCTAGATTTACTTATATCTATCCAGTTTGAGACCCTTTTTGTACTTGTGGATTCAAAGAATGATGATCGTGAAGACAAAACACTTGGATTGATATTTAGATTCTACTCGTTTCACTAGACTGAACTTCATTATTTGTTTAGATTGGTGGTAGAAGTGGTGGCTATGGAGCATATGGAATTTACTCTGGTCGATCCAGTGGTGGATCTGGGTAATGAATTTATTCATCCCAGAAGGATTTTTTTTCACTTTTATTTATTTATTTTTTGCACTCTTTTTATTTTCATTGTTCATTTAGCTTCTCTGCCAAACTAATTCTTAGACTTTCACTTTGAGAATTGTCATCTAGTTCCAATTTTTGGCATCTCTGAACAGGTTGTCTAGCCATAACCCTGGTTCACACGGGAAATCTTATGGTCATTGAGTGCCTGGTTCTCAGGGCGCGTACAGGTAGAACCTGATCTCCCTCTTCTGAACATCAATTTTTTCCTTCTAAACATGTTCAGTACATAAATCTATCTTTGTATCTGGAAATGAACTGCCTATGTTCTCTTCGTCGCTTAAAATAGCCCCCACCCTGTACTTGGATTCTAATACACTTTTCTTTTTACCTTTCCTCCCTCTCAACTAAAACAGCTATGATCTATGATGCCTGAAGCCAGCCTATTGCCCTTTTGATGATGCCTCCAGCCTAAGACCTGAAGACCAGACGAAGATGATATGAGAAATTTGTGTTCAAACATGCCCCTAGCTTTGTTACTTTCTTTAGAGACAACCTATTAGATCTTTTGTGGCTTTGTACCCAGAATACCGAGCTTTGTATTTTCTGCTTTTCCAAACAAGTATAGTTGGTTAAAACTTTTGAACTTTATTTGCAACACAGTTTGGTTACCTACAAAACCTATATGAACAGTGTCTATAGTTGTTTGCTGTTGTGAAGATTATGAATTTTGCTTGGATATACTGGATTTTTATGTTATTGTGAAGCCAGGTTCTGGAATGCCTGTTTCTCTGGCCTAGAAATGTTAAACTACAGGTTTCCAAGGAGAGAAGCATACCCACATATCTCATTTGATTATGTCCATTATATTGCTGTGGTAATTTCCTCCAACCTTGTTCAAGTTGACTAATTAAGTTAGAGTGGCCTTAGTATACATGGGTTTGTAGTTCATGTACAAATTGAGGCTTTCTTTTACCTAATTCATGTACATTTCCTGATTGCTATAAGGGACGTATTGATCAAATTTGCTTGACATCAATGTTTTAGTAGTGAACAAGTATTATATTTTTGAAGAGGTTCATAACCACGTACAGTTAAATCAATACAGTATGATAAACTTGGTGACAGCAAATACAGCATGATAAACCCAGATACAGCTCTTTGTTATATTTTAAAATGCAGTTTTTTTTTAAAAAATGCTGAGAACAGACAGACAGTTCAAACTGGGAATTGGTTTTAAAAGCAGGTCTGTATCTTCTCCTTGTTCAGGTGGGGAATGCGCCATAAGGATTCAGCGTAATGTACTGAACTGTTTTGAACTTTGATATTGCAGCTTATCTTCTGCTGAAGTTGATAACGATTCAGTACAGGACCATGTAAGGATTCAATTCTGTGTTTTGACATTGAGAATATTGTTCTATTCATGGCCTGCTTATCAATGTTCTCTATTTGGTAGGTAGGACAAGGTAAAGGTATTTCAGGTAGTACATTTTTACAAGTTAGAGGGCTGCTTTCTCCGCAAGATAACCAAGTCGATTAAAGATTGTGCATCACAAATATCCAAGTGTTCGTATTTGCAGCGTTGGCTCAAAAAAAAAAAAAAAGAATACATGATGGATGTTGACTTGCCAAAGTGTGGAGTGACAACAGTGGGTATTTCAGTGACTATAAAGTGGGTATGTAAGTTTGGGGTTCTGCATTTTTCTGTATGTTATTACTCTACTGGCTTCTTAGGACAGATGTGCATTAGAGATATAAATTAGTTTTACATGTTCTCCTCCATTATTATAATCCCTTCTTCCTTGTTGAGCAACTGAAGCTGAGCTTTCTTCTTCTGCAATGTGCCACAAGGATGAAGTTGTAATCTAGGAATGGTTTCGGTTTTGTGAGTTGGAAAATCATCTTCACATTCTAATCTGAGTCCGTTAGAGTTGCTTTGTTTTGTGGGAATAGCAAAATTGAATCCTGTAGGAAGAATGAATTTTGGCTAAGGGTCATAGCTGGTGGTCCTTTCTCTTGCTAAGAGGTTTAAATGAGAAGGTTTCTATTATTCTATGCTGTTTGCATCTGTCACAGTGCCTTGGACGGTAGCCAGCTTAATTTCGGGCTACTTCGTCGATGTGCCTACTTTGCAGATGTAAATGTAGGCCTCATCCATGAACGAACCTCATATACCTGAAGTCTTTTTTTTAAGTATTATAACTTTAATTGGCAGCATATCAGGTCAGAAAAATAATGACGACGACCGTTGGCTTCATATCATGAATATTCATGGTCTTCCACATATTCTGGGTCTAGGTGTCTTGAAAGTACGAGGATGCACAGAGAAGTCAAGTTCTATTTGCCAATTGAAAAATGTGGTAAATGGTGGCGGGAAAATGGCACCTTGGAGATGCGGAATTCCTCTATCAAGACTCAAGAATGATTCACTACAGTACAGTCTACATTACTCCAACTAAATAATTACGATATATCAGTCTACAATACTCCAATCAGGTGTATATAAATGTGTGCATGTTATTACTATGTTCTGCTTTTCACGAAGAGAGTAACTTTATGTCCAACTCCACATCAAGGATACAAGATCTTTTGTTAGTTCATCGCATCCATCGAAGTTGCGGCAAAGATCATCATACTCGAACTACTACCTAACATAGCTATAAAATCTGCAATGCATTTCTTATCACTCTTTGGTAATTCCATCAGCAGAATATAGCGAGCAACTTTTAGTTGTCGTCTACGTGCAAGGAGCCTGGGCAATGAACCGTATGGCATTGATCATCTGGATGAGAATTATCGTCAGAAAACCCGTCTAGTCCTTTGCTCTGGTCCTCCTGCTCGGGAGTGCACTTGTCCTGGCAGCTCTCATTCCCTGCGGAAAGAGATAAAACGGCTGATGCTCGTTGCATTGTAGTAGATTGTGGGTATAATGGCCGTGAAAGTCGCGTACCTTCACTATCATCACTTGAATGAGCATAAGCTGAGCGCTTTGAACGAATTTGCTGCTGTGGCGTAGGCTGTAATGTAAATTACAAAAATGCATGCTTTGTCAACTTTTAAAACTTAGCATCTATACGGGCTTGTTTGATTTTAGCCTATTGCAAGTGTTAGAAAGAGAAAGATTGATATCTTTGGACCAACAAAATCTCTGTTATAATGGAAAATGCATAAATTAACCTGCAACTTTGGACGAAGTGCTTCCAGCGGTCCTTTGCTCTTCTGCACTCCTTGCTGCCAAACAATTAAAAGCGGAAATCATCAGATGTTGTCTGAAACTCCAGGCTTTAACGTAGCTATTATATGTTTACAGATTCAATAGAAATGTAACAGAAAATAGAGATTGATATTCCTTGGAAAGTACCTTTCCCAGTGCCCAATCAGCAGAATAAAAAAAAGCATGGTCATGGTCCTGCCAGAATACCACAACTGTGAAAACATGCAGTCTGTGAAGTTCATGAAACTGGCGAAAGAGATGGTGATTACCTTGGATATCAGGGGCCGTTTTTTAGGTGCTAATCCTCCGTACTTCTTCTTGATTGCTTCCTCCTGCAGAGAATAGCTGATCCATAAAACCTCTTCTCTAAATAAAGATCATGGGCAGGGCAGAGCCAGTTCGCCCTGTGAGTTTCATGATCCCAAATTACACCAATGGCGGCTGTCTTTAGATTTTGCTTTACTAAAATAATGAGCCTTTTTTTTTGTCGGATACCTGTTGTTCAGGGCAGGGCAAAGGATCTTGCTTCTCCGGCTCTGAAAATTTTGAATGTTCAACATGTTGTTCATCATCAGGATGATCATCTCTTAATTCTGTACCATTCTCATCCTCAGATTTTGTGTCTGACATGTCGTATGTTTCCTTCATAACATCGCGGGATCGCAAATGTTTTTCAGTACAACTCAAAATTAGTATTTACAACCAATAAGAAACTAATCACCAAAGGCAAAAGTTAAGAAAAATCATGAAGAGAAAATATATTGTTGACGTACGATTGATGCATACAAAAAATGAAGCTAGGATGGTGGAGTACCTGAGCTTTACTGCAAAATTTTTGCTCGGAAGCCTTGAACAAACTACTGTGTTTGTTGTTGAGCTCAGACTGGAGAATTCGAGATATTACAAAATGGTTGCGTGGTCTGTCAACCGAATCAAAGATGCTCATAGGCTAAGATTCCAATGGGCTGCGTCACAAATGGATCCTTGGATTTCAAAAATTGGAAATTGGGCTTCGGCTGGATCCTTGTATTACACACACACACACAACCCAAAAGAGGGAGAGAGAGAGAGAATTACAATTCTGGTCCGAATATTGACGTGACCAATATATGGATATATTTTATTATTGATTATGGCTAGCAATTTTTTATTTAATTTTTAAAAATTATTTGCTGTCACATGACCAGATTCCAGTAGTAATTGGGTAAAATCAACCGTTAAGACTAAATGTGCATAAAAATTGAAATATTCGGAACTACATTTGCTACCATCCTAACTTTAAAGACTAAAAACGCTCATACTTCAAGTATTTGAAACCAAAACTGCAATTCTCTCAATAAAAAAAAAAGGCATCTTATCAATCTATTGATTCTATTCCTTTAAACAAATTCATTAGACATTCAGAAACATTAATGTGCACAATATAAGAGGCCATTGTTTTTCATTTGCTCTTAGGAAGAATGGAAAGGTAACAAAAAAAAAAAAGTAATAATAAAGATTAACAGCATCATCGTCCTATTTGTTTGCAGATACAGGGGCCTCAACAACTGCTTATAATCGCGGACGTGGATATCAAGTCATACGGCTCGCTTTATGGTAGATAATTTTGTATTGCCGGCATAATATTTTGGAAAAAAAAAAAATCTAATCGACTGCCACATGGCTTGCGATGTCCGGGCATTTGTTTGAATTGGTAAACAATGTTGGCTTGACTGGAGAAGTATGGAGGCCTAATTTTTAAAGTAACATTATCATATCAGAGGGTGACCAGTTTCTTGATTGAATTGGAGTGTTAGGAGGACAAGTTGGAGACGATCATTTTCGAGATAGTGAAGATAAGTCTTCTGGGGTCGGTGGTTAAATGCAGGTGGCTACTCTGCTGCCAGGAGAAAGGAAAAAAAAAAAAAAAAGAAGAAAGAAAGGGTCAAATGAACCCTCCTTATCCAGAACCTGAATGCGGCAAGTGATAAGGAGCCTTGCCTGTTGAGGTCACAAGATGTGTACAACTGGATCAGATTATGACTGCGGTCTCGCGCTCATTCGGCGGGCAACTGAGGATTTATGGGCGGTACCCGGGCGGGCATCCCGTTTCCCCAACAAAAAAAATAAGAAAAGGTATTTTAGCCTTTCAGGCAAAAAAAAAAATAGAATTAATCTTCTAACAATGTACGCATTTTCATCATTAGATGCATGACACATAATTTAAATTTGAATTTGAAACTCAAATTTTGCATATGTATCGCATATCTGATCGTAAAAATGTATACACCGTTAGTACATATAAAATTTATTAAAAAAAAAATAAGGGATGATCTTTAAAGAAATAGTAAGTAAATTCATAGTTAAGGTAGCTAGTAATTTTACCCCTAAGAATAATCGGCATTATTTTGGGTCGAACTAAGCTATATCTCGTACAATAGACAATCATTGATACGCACTTAAATTCATCATTCATTATCTACTGCTATATGATTTCTTAGAATTTAAAATACAAATTTTTTAACTTTTTTTTTTCGTTTGCAAATCTTCATATTGGATAATGGATTATTTGCAAAAATTTATTTGCTTGAATTTTCATATTACAGAATGAATTATTTACATAAATTTATTTACCTGTATCATCGACACATTTTTCAATCACTTTTTTTTTTTTTTTTATATATCTCACTCTATCCATCCAGTGTTATAACATTATCAACACCACTCAGCTAGTTGAGCGCAGCACCGCCTCTGTGTGATTTTAGTTTCCAAAATCATTTGATTGGTGCTGTTCTCTTCTTTAATTAGAAAAAAAAAAAAAGAAGAAGAAGAAGCTAAAATAGGCCGCAATCTTGGCTACGCAAAGAGCAAAGAAGCATCTCGTTATATCATCTCAGTAATCAAAAAACAAGGACAAAAAAGCGTGTTGAGAAACTCAGTCCGCAATCTTGTCTGTGCAAAAGCTGCAACAAGCATTCCAAGCTTTACCTCACCCCTGCCCTGCCTGCTCTTTCCTGTACTGTTATATTTATATTTCCCGATCGATCCACAACCCTTTACTACAACTAAATCGAATCTCACCTCGAACAAGCTCTCTCTGCGTTCTTCCAGTGCTTTGCATAAAGCGAAGAAGGCATGAATTAAACTAGCCTTTCAATTGATGAGCCAAAAGAATTGATCATCATGCTTCTGCACAGTTGAAACATCTAAGGTCTTACATATGGATCCGATGTTTTCAGCCATGCAGCCAAGGATGACTTGCCGGCAAGTTATTTCATGGTTTTACTTGCTTTCCAGATAATAGTACAGGAAATAGAAGTTTAAGTAATTTTGTTGCCAATTTATAGTACGAAGCAAATAGTAGTATTTTTCTTTCTATATCAAGTTTGTTTGGTATTCCAAGTAGATTTTTTTGTTTTTGTTTTTGTTTTTTTATCATTAACAGTGAAAGAAAATACAGAAATCTTTGTGAGCAAAACCGGCAAGTCTTCTTTGGCTCCAAGGCTGTATCGCATTCTTATGTTATACCGTGATGATGTTCCAGTCCAGTATCGCTTAGGTCCTCAATGGAATGCTGCAAGATCATCTTTTTCCTTTCATTTTCTCTCTTCCTTTGTTATTTTTTTGTTCTAAGGGTGGAATTTAAAGAAATGGTGAGAAAAAAAAAAAGGAATTTAAACCCAGAATCTCTAATCATTAAAGTCTCAATCTTAGTCACATATATCTTTCTCTCTTCTTTTTTTTTTTTTTTCTAAAGGAAAACCAATATCTTATTTATTTGCATGTGGGGCTAGTTTTATCTTTTGAGCAACTTACTTGTACTAATTATCCATACCAAGCAAGTGAGTATTTTTCCTTTTAATTACTATATATATATATATATATATATATATATATATAGTGCATATATATAGTGCATTGGACGTTTTTCTTTTGGTCAAAACTACAATGCATTGACCATGAAGGCCATTACTTTTACCATTATTAAAATTACAGATGCAAATTAGAAATAATCTGTCTACTCATTACCTTGATTCCATGTAATTCAATTTTTGTGCATCAAAATGTAGATCCAAATTAAACTAAACCGTAGCCAATAGCTCATCATAAGAAGGTCGCAACAAATTGATCACTGCATCATCGTTTTAGCAACGCATTTGGATATATTTACATGTGAATCATCACGTTCTGTTGAATCTCGTAATTTTATATCTTGACTTTTAGTTTTTCATGCAGTTGAAGCTAGAAAACATCAGCATTTCTGGATTTTATTACTTTTTTTTTTTGGATATTTGACTAATATTAGAAGCATGTTTTTTTTTTTTAAAAAGATATTTAATGTTTGTAGAAGGCATAATGCCGCTATTCTCGTAGTCATGGTTCTATCTGTGAGATGAATCGGTAAAAAGTTCAATAGAAACTAGTGTGAAAAGCACGCCCTCAAATTAACACTTTTAGAAGTTATTAGAATATTGTTTTGCCCCCAAAAAAAAAAGAAAAATTTATGATTTCTTTATGGAAACAAAAAAAAAAAAGTTATTATAAGTGGAAGTAATTAGAAGTTACTAAACTTAAGTAATTATTTTTAATAAATCTTGGCTTTTTATGAAGGTGAAATTGAAAAATAAAAGGATGACACAAAATTTCAACACCAAACCCTCTCCTCATGATTTATATATAGAATGATTAATGAATTCCAAGTTGAAAAGCATTCCAAATTGATAATTTTCGTATCCATGATCGAAGACAACATTGATTTGATTTAATCTCAATTTGACTATGATATCCCCACACTCTTCAGCACTTTTTTGTCTTGAACCGCTTCTCCATGCTCGAATATTTGATGGATCAGTTGGAAGTGGGACTGACATATGACTCGTCCATTCAATTTAACAATGCCATAGACAAAGTAGAGCAGTTGGGCTTCGAGAGATTTGAGTACTGAAAATGCATTAAGATCAAATGATGTAGAAATGCGTCTTGGGTCGACGGAAAGCAGCGAGAATGCATAATCTAATTCGAGTCATCACACCTACTATCCACTTTGCTGATTTACTATTGGTGGTTTGAGAAAAGTCCAAACGTGCTTAGATATGCTATAGTGTTGCTACTATAAACTCAGGGTACGTCCCTGTGTCTTTCATGAGAGTTCAGATAAAAAATCAAGAACCAATTTTTCTTAGTGGTTTTGATCAAGGTTACTACAACTGAGAAGAGACGGATGGAAACAAAAACGAAGGCAGTGAAACTTGAGGCTGGTGAAGCATCCAGAGCAAAGGGAAGTAGAGGAGTCTCAATATTTGATCTCATTCTGCGGATTGTTGCAATTGTTGGCACATTAGGAAGCGCGATTGCCATGGGAACCACTAGTGAAACTCTTCCCTTCTTCAGTCAGTTCGTACAGTTCCAAGCTCAGTATGACGATTTTACTACCTTCACGTGAGTAATATAATTCGTTTTTCATCAAGCATTGCAATTCTGTTATATGCGTGATTGGTTTTTTCAATCACTAATACTATCACAGATGCAGAATAAACATTTTGTAACCTCTCTTTGTTCCTTTGTTCTTTTAAGACTCTTCGTGATTGTGAATGCAATTGTATGTGGATATCTTGCTCTTTCACTTCCGCTCTCCATCTACCACATTATCAGGAGCAGGGCAGCAAAGAGTAGAGTTCTACTGATCTTCTTGGACACGGTAGTACCCTTCTGATAGATTCCTTCTGCTCATTTTGCTCTGATCCTCAACAGAGTCCACAGCCACAACAGAAAATAATGAAGGTTGTTGCTGTTTCCCTTTAGGATTCAGGGATTCTAACGCTCTCTTATCTGTCTGCAGACAATGCTAGCTCTTCTAACCGCGGGAGCCTCAGCAGCAGCAGGCATAGTGTACTTGGCGCATAACGGGAATTCATCAGCCAACTGGTTTGCAATTTGCCAGCAATTCCAGGACTTCTGTCAGCGCGCCTCTGGATCTTTGATTGGTTCTTTCGTTGCAGTGGTTTCCATCGTTCTGCTTGTCATTTTGTCTGGCATAGCACTATCTAGGAACTAATCCCTTCAAAGGGAAATTTTAGTTAAACATCTATGTTGGTGTGCCGCTGTTTTTGGGATTTGTAATAGCACTGATGTCTTCTGTTTGCGCGGTGCTTCTGTGCATTCTCTTGGACTATGAGGTCTGTCTACCATTGAAGTGCACCCTCTTTTCCACCACCCCCAAAAAGAAACCAATGTGCAGAAGGGATTCAGAATCTCAAACTCTGAATTTGAGATTGAACAGGAAATTAGTCCTTCAAGTTTGATAAATGCGTTTGTTTTGGAAAAAAAAAAAAAAAAAGGTTTGAGAATCAGGTTCTGAAACGCTGTTCCAAATTGGCTTTAGAAGCAGTGCTAAACTACTATCAGAATAAAAAAATTGCTTAATAATTACTTTCGTGTAGAGAATTCAATGACCTCAAATGAAATCTCCATACAGCTCTCCCAAAAGAAGGGCTTCAGCATACAATCACTGGGTTCCAAATGGTACATATTTTGGCATCCTACAATTGTGGAAACAACTGGAACCTGTTCATCGTTATGTTTTCAGAATAACAAAATGTAACGTTAAAATCCACATCCCATTTTCCTATACTAATAAATTGGGGTCCTGATACCTCCAAAGCAGATTGTAGCAGCAAGATCAATCCACCAAACTTGTCGTCAGTTGGGTGTACGCGTTCCCCTTGAAGGTGAAACTTACTTTGGCTATGCTAGTAATGCCACGAGATCGTCTATGGACTTGAGCGTCTTCTCATAGTACAAATACGATTCATATACCTTGGGCGTTCGAACATAAATATCGAACTGAAGCACAAAACACCATTCCTTAGATTAAATTCTACCCACAAATGAAACAATTAAATTTGAACAAGAAGAAATAACTGTAACAAATGACCGGCATACCTCAGCCATGTTATCAACCAATTCATTAGCAGTCGCAATGTAGGACTTCCACCTGCCTCTTGGGATGGTAACGATTGCATTTTTCATGTCCTTAGAAAGATAGGATTGCTTCTGACGTATATACATCAGGACATAGTTCCATGACATGGCCTCCAGCATTTCCCTGAGGCTATGAAGTCCTTGAGCAGTCTGCCGAATTCGGGCAGCTGCATCCTCGGGGGACAAGTCTGGCTCAAAGAACTTCTCCCATATGAATGAACGTGTGCCCCAATTCTCAGCCATTGCTGGTGGGGTTGTGTTGCCCAACCCCTGCACTCCTGCTGCTACTGAAGTTGATAGAAATGCTGTGACGACTTTTCTTCTGAGGGTCATTGTATTCTCTTCAGGAGCTAAGGTTGCTTGGATTCTTGGGAGCAGCCGGCATGCATTTTGATGATTTTTGGGTGATATCTTGAATTGAGAATTGAATAAAGGTGTAGAGTTCATGAGGCTACTAGTGATTGTGTGCATAAGGTAAACAAACAGGAGGAAGAAGCAGTGTGTCAGTACTCAGCAGTAGACGAATGCCACAGGCTGTTGGAACTCGGTCAGGTTTTGGTCGAACGCCTTGTAGCGGGCTGCCCGTTGCTACAAGATGGACCTTTGCTTTTGGTGACATGGCATTCGTTATCTTGTTTGTTGCCTGTTTGAAACACTGCCTTTTGTTAGCAATCCCTAGCTTCAAACACTTTCCTTTTTATTTTTTTTTTGGGGGTGGATTTAAATATATTCTACAGAAATAAATCGACAAGAACTTTATAATTCTTAAGAATTAATTGATCATTTCTGAAACAAACTAGAATTGCTCCCAGTGGATAATTAATCTGTTAAATAACAAGGTCAGCTTGGGGGTGGGAACTGGGATGAGTTGGGAATATTTATTGTAAAAAATTATCGGAAACAAAACACACACACACACGCACACTGTTCCAATACCAAACGTGTACTTACCAGTTACCAGGTATTTACAATAAGTCGCACCAACTGACCAACGTCGTTTTTGTCCAATGATGAGTTTACCGTTTACCACTAAGGTTGAAAAAAAAAAAGGTCACTAATTCTCCGCCTCCACCACTTCAGTCACTTACCCGACGCTCCCCGCCGGCCACCATAAAAATCCCACCAACATGGTGTCAAATTTCCCGAAGTAAGACCATGGGGATCGTGAGCTACTTCCGAATCAAAGGAACATTGAGTTGGCTGCAGAAGCTGACCCAAGAGTTCAAAACTGCCCGTGAAAGAAGATTAGTTAAATTAGTAGGTGGAGGTGTAGAGCCGTCTCCGTTCCCGTCGTTCCACACCCCTCCCACCGATGTCTGACCTCCTGCTGCTGCTACTCAAATCTGCAGCTACGCCTCCCAACTCCAACATTTCTGTAATAAATGAAATTTTGCTTAGCTTTTTGTATGTTATGTTAACGGCTGATATTTGCATTTCACCCTTGAGTTAAAACATTTGGACTCGAACTCGAGTTCGAGCTCGTTGAACTCTAGTTAAGCTCGAACTTTAGCTTGATTTTATTTTGCATTATTCGAGCTCAAATTCAAACTCATGCTTATCAGTCCAATTGAGCCTCGTCGAGATTAATCGAGCTTAACAAATATAAATTTATATTTTATATAATTTTAAATAAGAAACAAAATAGGTGTTTCATACTAATAAGTCAAAAATTAAAAAAAAACATATATATATATGTGTGTGTGTGTGTGAAGTTCGATTAATCTCGACGACTTTTCGATCTTCACATATTAAAATCAAGCTGAACTCGTCAAGTAGCTCGTGTTGTTCGAGACCGGTCAATGTGAGTTCGAGTTTTGACCGAGCAAGTTTGTGAGCTAGTCGATTAAATTCGACTCATTTGCAACCTTAGTGTTTAAATTCGACTCATTTGCAACCTTAGTGTAGTCAGGCCTGTATATGTGTCAGTCCTTTACACAGATTCCTTAGTCTCCCCCTCCCTATAGAACAAGATAGATTAGGTTATAAGAATGTTATAATTGGGGTTTGCTAATTTATGCTTATTAGCATTAGCACTACTAGAAAAAGGAAAAATGGTGGGCATCGTTAAAGTTTTGATTTTTGATGGGATTTCTCAGCAACATGTAGCGCACTATTATCTGTTCATGATATACCAATACATTGGGTTTCGTCTGGCTGCTTAATTCTTTATTCGATTCTCCTGCTTTCCTCAGCATCTGTCGTTTCACTGCTTTTGTTGCTGACAAGAATTAAGCGGGAGTTCCAAAGTTCTCATCTTTGCTTCCAAAATGAGTAATGATAAAGACCTTGCCCATTATTTGGTTATATCATACATGAACCTCGATTTTTGCCTCCATGATGTGTATTATTAGCGAGTTGAATTCTTGAAATTTAATTTATTACGCTGATAATGACCCACCGAGCCCTTTGAGGGAGTATTTGTATTAAGCATTATTTTGTTGCATTTCTTGACTCCCATGTCTTTCTAGGCTTATGCACATTGATATTACCAAACATGGTGCCCTTGTTAATTTACTGTTAAAAGTGAATAATCATATCTAGATAAGCTACTATGGCACGACAATTTTGTGTTTGCAAGTTGGACTGACTTTCATTCCCTTGCTGTTGAATTCTGTAGAAAGACAAATCTTATGCAAAATTTACTTATTAATTTATGTGTCCCCTCAAGGTGCTTCAGGATGTCTTGAAACTGATACTTTTAATCCATGTGCCATCGATAGAATTGTCATCATCCTATACTTCACAACATGCCCTGGAATCAGTTTGAACCTGTAGAATCTGCATAGGATTGCAAGTGCCATCTTCATCTGTAAGTATGCTGAATCCTTCCCAAGGCATATTCTTGGCCCAGCCTGCATTCACAAGTAATCAGATGATTAAGAGACCAAAGAGTTATTCAAACCTGTAGTGTTTATGCTTATGATTGTTCAGGATAAGCCGTGATGAATGTTATGCTTTTGTTTGATTTTGTACATATACATGGTTATCGATGTAGAGGTAAATCTGGTTCTTTTGGTATACCTGAAAGGCGGTGAATTTGAAAGGAGATGCACTTTGGAAGCATCCTTCCTTGAGCCATCTCTCCGGCTTAAATGAAGCTGCATCAGGACCCCAATTGTACTCCATTCTCCCCATGGAGTATGGAACATATGTTACCATTCCTCCTGCTTTTACCCTGGTTCCATCTGGTAAAATGTCATCTTCCAGGATGCCCTTGGGATCCTGCAAAATTTTGGTCAGTAAAATAGATCCGCCTTTGCTGATTTTACAGTAAGGAAAATGGAGAATGTGCCAACCTGAGGAACAGCTGGATATAATCGAAGTGTTTCTGTAATTACAGCATGCAAGTAAAATAGTCTGCCTAAGGACTCATAATTGAGGAGTCCTGCAAATTGCATTACTCTCTTATTGAATGATTCAAAATCATCTCTCTGATACGGCTGCAATATGATATTTTCTTCTTTTGCCCTGGATTCCTCTAGAGTTTTTAGTTCTTCGTAAATCTTCTCTGCTACATCTTCATGAGTCATTATCATGTATATAGCCCAAGAAAGTGTTGTGGCTGTGGTGTCGCGACCAGCGATCACAAAATTCAGTACAACATCTCTTAGGCTTTTGTCAGTCATATGGTTGTCGGGATCTTTGCTGAGCTCGATAAATCTTGACAAGATGTCATGCTTAATCTGATAAATGATTGTCAAAGGCATCAGTGAGGTTACATGCTCGAAGAAAGCAGCGACTCTGCACTCTGCACAAGTTTATTAGTAAGCTGTTACATTTTTACCTTGGCATCCTTATTTGCCCCCTGAGCTTCTTCCAGCTCAGCCTTTCTTCTCCTTATAACAGAGTACGTGAAGTCATCAATAATTTTTATACTCTGGTCGAGAACAGCTTCTGATCCCACATTGAGAAATTTCTTTATTTTCCACAGAGGATCGATGAATCGTAGAGTCACAATTATGTTTGCAGTGTCAAATGCTTGTGCAAAGCGATTATCTGGCAATTCAGGGGCCAATGTTCCTATTTCTGCACCAAATCCCACTTTGCAAATGGAGTCCAAAGTCATCCTCATCAACAATTCCTGAAAATTAGTCAGTCCCTGTAGCTGTCAGTTAAAATTGATGGAACATTGATGGATCATGGTTAAACAGCAAAGGAGATTTGTAGGCATTTGCAACTCAACCCAACTCCCTTATCAGTGGCTTGTCTTTCGCAATTGAAAAAGAATAACTCAATTGTTTTAAGACAAGTTTAATGTCTATACGCAATTAAATGTCACCATCCGTATAAATGTCAGTTGTCCGATTGTCTTGAAAAGAATGATAGTCACCTGCATATCTATTTCCTGTTTCTGGTGAGATGCCTTGCTCAGAATTTCAGAAAGTTTAAGACTATACTCTCTGAAGACAACTGTACTGAAATCCCTCAAGTTCCTGGAAGCGAACTCAAAGCTTGCTGTCTTCCTTTGCTTTCTCCACAGCTCTCCATCAACATTAAAGATTCCATTACCAAGCAGCACTTCCATGTACGAATGATATGTGTCCCCCTATAAAAACGAAAATAAAGTTAAACCAACTTATGGAGGATTATCCCAGTGCCAGCACATATGCGTAACAGATGAAAAGTCTTACGGTATAAAGCATGAGGTGAAGTCTACAGAAAATCAGCCATACAAGCACTCGGACCTAATAACCGGGCATATGCATCACTCAGTTCTTTTTCAGGATAGGAACAGGAATGGGTGATTCTCTGGTTTTCAAGAAAGTGACAGAAAAAGTTCAATAAAAGGGATAAAAGAAGAGACAGCATGATTAAATCACCTTTGGATAATTCCCGAAGTTGGTTTTGAGAACATGTTCCACATTCGTTGGATCAGCAATGTAAGTGTAAGTGGTGAACGGCATTGGGACCACGACAGTTCTTGACCGAGCAAGATATTTGAGGATCCAGTCGTGCATTTGGTCATAGTTCAACAGCTGTTCGATGGCAGCGCCTACCAATGGCCACGTTTTGGGACATCCCTTCACATTCCTTTGCTTCAACCTGTGAATGAGAACCCATGATACTAAGATAACCATGCAAGCAACAAAGATCAATATCTCCATGCTGTTTCTGTAGTTATTATCATCACTGTCATGAGCTGGAGAGTACTTTCGATCCAAAGGAGTGGAGATTAGATGGTTTTTGGCCCTTTCTTCCATGTTAGGACTGGCTCGAGCGAGCGAGATCTAATCAGAGATGCCACTTTTTTTTTTTTTTTCTTCAACGAAATTGATCGTTGAAAGGTGTTGGATGAGGGGTTATTAATCTTTGTACGATGTTCATGCCATGCCGCTCAAATGAGTTGGTGAAGAACTGGTAACCGATAATTAATTGGCTACAATTTCGCCCCAACCATCTTTGTATGGTATGAGTTTTTAAACGTTTCATGCTCTTGGCGATCCCGACCTAACTTCTCTCGTGCAAGAAATCAGAATTGCAAGACGAATTTAGAGCTTAAAATTCCAACCAATTAATATGTATACGCAAAATTTTTTTCTAGTAATAATACGCATCCTGAAGTCACGCAGCAAACGTACAAAAGAATTTATCAATTACGGCGGTTAACGAACCAATTGAAATCCTTCTTCTTTTGTCATTTTTCTGCTTTTCTTCTTTCGTAATCTTCCCCGGAAGGAGAGAGGCGGCGGCGGCGAAAGGCTGATTTGTGATTCACCTCATCCACCATGAGTTGAATGGGGTGAAACAAAAAAAACAACAACAACAACAAAAACATATGCATCAGACTTCGATGCTTAATTATCTGATTAAAAGCATGCTGATTTGCTAAATCAGGGCCATATTTAATTAGCCGTGACAGTCTAAACTCAAAATATTCAAAAGTATCGAACATGTCAACGTAGACAACTTTTTTTTTTTTTTTTGTGGGAAGCATCAACGTAGAAAGAAAACCTTGGTGCATGCAACTTTTTTGGCTCGTGCATGCACCAAAGTTTTTGGTACTGACAAATCATGAAAGTTCTTCGCCCGATTGGTCCTGCGTCAATCAAGTCTTTATTCTTTTCTCGTTTTAGGAAATTGGCTCTGACGGACATAGACTGGTGGTAATTTGAGTTTATCCTGTTTCATTGAAATAATCTTCGTTCGGAGTCCAATGTTTTGGAGTAATCTCCTAAACGCCGCTCTCATTGGCCGATGCTGAAATGTATAGCGATAATGAATTGTAGTATTATTATACTAATTAATAGAACTAAACTAAACTTGACGACCCCATACACCTTGGCACGCGCAGGAAGGAGACGTGCCTCTGGCAGCTAAGTATTTAAAATCCAAAATCCACGCCATCTCTGGCTTCTTTTGTCCTTTAGTCAGTTTGAAATTCAACAATGTCAGTTGAGCTCCCTTTTTTTTTTTTTTTTTGGGTTCAAAGTAGGGATAATTTCGAATACCTCCCATTGGGTTTCTCTTTAGTGTCACACCGAGAACCCTTCAAGTTTTTAAAATCCCACGTACTTCCCTTATCGGCTTGACAAGATTAGATGTCCCCGTTAAGAGTCGCGAATTGAAGCATTACCCTTGCACTCTTAAAGCATTACCCTTGCACTCTTAATAACTATTTAAATAAAAAAAAAGGAAAATTTTAAACCCAAAAATGTAAGCAAACCAGTATGATTAAATGGCCATCCAATTAGTATTGGGCCGTATTTCTGTGTTAGGTGGTGGTGAGACAACAAAAGAGGTAGTTAAATTAAATTTAGTCAAAGTCAGTCGCTTAGAAGGATTTTAGTAAGCAATTAATACTTAGGAAATTTTGTTGGACGGATTTGAATAAGTCAAGCAACGTTTTTAGGAAGTATGTTTTAATACATGATATAATTCAAGTTCTACTCAAATTTAAAATAATATTTTTCATAGATGTGGTTTGCATGTAAATCCTAATTATAGAAAAAAGTTATAAATATGCTAGTATTAGAAAGATTAATAAATAAATGATCTCATGATCAAGTATCTAGAAATTGCCTATGCTACTTTTTTTTTTTTTCCTTGAAAACACGTCTATTATGATAGGTAATAGTGGTTGAATTTTCGTAAAATTACTTGCTATCGCATTTATAATTTCTTAGATTTTCACCTTTACTTTTTAACTTCATTTTATTTTTTTTTATTATTGCTATAAAGTTCATAAATAGGATAACATGAAGGTAGTATTAGAATAAAATTTTATCTCAAACAAGCTAAAATGTTACAATAAATGTAAATCCAAAGGAGATAAATGAGATTTTAAGAATTTCAGAGATTTCAAGTGATATTATGACTAACGTTAGGAGAAGATTCTGAAATTATCCAACGCAAAAATTTCCTAAAGGTGAGGTGATGTCTAATATGAGGAATCCTTATCCGCATAATTAAGACCATTCCCCCATTATAGACCCGAAAAGCAGAAAAAACAAAGAAAAAGAAAAAGACAAAAGCCCACACTAGCAGCAGGTCACCCAAACCAAACCTGTTCGCCGAGCCAACTTTAGGTGCAAATAATTATATATTTGCCCCCAGAAGTTCGGGGTCAATGACAAAGCACCCTCCATATTTGCGAGACTTACAAATTACCTCCTATTGACTAAAGGTCAAATGTATGCGAGTAACAAAGAGATAATTATACCCTCATTATAGGAAATTGGCTTATGATCCTTTTAATCATCAGGGGGCAATTTGTGAGTTTCATAAGTAAAAGAGATAATATGCTACCGATCACGAATAAAAGGGAGCTGATATATTATTATTAAGCTTAAGTAAAAGAGAAATTTGATAGTGATCCCCAACAATAGAGGGCCAATATGTAATTAAGCTTAAATTTTAAATTCTTCCTTGGAAATGAGTGTTTTTTATTTTTATCTTTTTGATAAGGGAATCGCTATTTGAGAGTGCGCACCGAGTAAACCCCGTCCCATGCAATAACTCGCCAACCACACAAAGGAGTAAAATGCACTAAGTAAGCCCTGCATGATGGCCGGATGGATGTTCTAGAAGAGGTTCGAACCCGGGTTAGTAGGAAACGGACGTTTTATTATTATTGTTCACCCATTGTAAGCATTGTTGTGCTGTTATACTCCGAAGAGACGTGTAATTTGCAGTGAAGTTTTTACACATTAAGGAAAACAGAGGATAGTAGAATGCTACACCTCAGATGCTATTCGAGGGCACATCTCAAGAGGATTCAAGAGACCGATCTTGGCATGAATGTGATTCTTGGGCTCCTTTGATAATGTTGGATTGAATTGGATACAGATACGTCTCAGCAGTCATTTTGGCTGTATCAACATAAACCAATTGTAAAGTAACATGTGTAATCTGTGCTTGCCCAAGATATTTGTTTCTTGTTCTTCCACTAGCACGTTATTTTAGTCGTCCTAAGATGGAGTATCTGATTTTTTTTTTTGTGTCGGACAAGTAATATAATATAATGGAGTATATGATTTTTGTACAAGGGATTGCTGACATCAGCGTTTTGGGATGACTTGGAAGATACTTTGTGGATTCCTTGGGATAAATTTTGTACAAGATTGCTGATATCAATTTTGGACAGACTTGTAAGCTATTGCTTATCACAAACTAAGAAAAATTATACAAATTTTTTAAACAATTTCTGATCCTTATCACCCCAGATGCACATCCCTATTGGCAATCCCCAACCCTTTTTTGTTAACACAACAAAATGTGCATCACTGGAATTCGTAAACCGGGTGCACATAGACCGGCTGGTTCAAGATTCCACTCTGATTTCCCTGGAACTGGTGTGGGACTTCTCCTAATTGTCTTGAAACATGATTTCCGTTGCTGTTAACTATGTTTTGATTATCGTAGACTGCATTATAAGAATTGTCTCCAAATAGCTGTGAAATCGTGCCCATGCACTCCATTTCCCATAGATGAGATAGCGAGCAAATCCTGGGGAATTTCGACAACTGTGTTTGCTGTGGTTCGCAACTAGCCGCATCAGCCGTTGTCAGAGTCTCGGTACTTTGATCCTCAGCTTTGATATCAAGGGCTTTTCCCAAATTTTTCTTCTTATAAATTCTGCAAAGAACCCAATCATCCAGCTGCAACAAACATGCAAAAAGGAAACGTTGGAAATTGTTATTGCTCTCTTCAATCTGAAATGGACAAAGGAGAAGAAATTAAGCTTACCCTCATGGAACCATTTTGCTTGTTAGGTTGAGATCTTGGTTCACTCAAGCGATATTCATGCATAATCCAATCAGTCTTGATACCCTTCGGAGGTCTGCCCTGGTAGAAAACAAGTGCTTTCTTGACCCCAACATATTTAGATCCACTGTAGATAGACTTGTCCGTTCCAGTGGCCTTCCAGTAACCTGATACAGCTGCCCTATTGGGACGTACTCCATTTGGGTATTTCCTATCTCGAGGGGTAAAGAAATACCATTCATTTTCGCCAAATTCGGTTTTCTCTACATTTTACAAGATCATAAAGCACAGTCAGTACAAAATTGATCCATTCATCAAGATAACATAAGCTTAACACAATATTGAAATCAGTATGTATCTGTTATATGGTATACCAACCAGGCAAATCCCAGGGATCAAACTTATAGATGTCAACTTCAGGGATAATTGAAACGGGGCATGGCCTAGAAATAGCCTGGTTTCTTAGGTAATACATGATTAGTTCTTCATCAGTGGGATGGAATCTAAAACCAGGAGGGAGGTCAGAACTGTTTCTTCCTACCATAGTTTTCTGGTGGGGTTTCAGAGAATTAGGAAATGATTATTGCTGTTAAATCAGGGGGAGGATAGTTTTGACAGGGAATATATCACGTAGCTAGACTAAGGAGGTGCTGGTGGGAAGGCTAGGGGTTGAGGGAGTTGAAAAAAAAAAGCAAGAAGAGAAGGAAAGGATTTGAAATGTTGGCAAGGAGAGGGAGTGGCCTTTTATTTACGAGGGTTTTTTGTCGCGATGCCTGGATTACATCAGAATAAGATTGGTTGTTTTGACTAGCATACCTCGTATGAGGATCGCATGCCATGCTTGCTGGATGAGGCAAAATGCTTTACTCTTCCTTTCTTCTATGGATAACAACTGGATTAGAATGAGAATATCCTTTCCTATTTTGTGCTGCTTTAACCAACTTAATTAATTTCGAGTTTGAATACTCTCTTGTACTTTCTTTGATGTTACAGTTTTTTGTTACACCGCGTATTAGGATGATATATATAACTCTGCTTACCTTTAC